TCAACTCATTAGCTCATTAAAAGAAACTCCAGGACCTGAAATGGGTGTCAGATAAGGGAGACATACAAAATGTGCAGTGTTGGGGGGCGCTCAGGACCAGGGTTGAGAAACACTGCTCTATAGCGTCATACTATATAAATAAATGTGCCTTGACTTAACTTACTCAGAGGTTCAGCCTTAAAGAAGTACTTGATGAAAAAGCATGAAAGGAGAAATTTTAGATGCTTCTTTTCCCATTCCTGAATGTGTTTATATACATTTCTGAGCTTAAAAGAAACTATCATCTGTCATGTATGGAAAGATCTGCACGAAATATTCCTAGTTTCCATCAGCACTGTTTTTTAATCTTTGAACACGCATGCTATCATGTCTGCTGCTTCAGTGGTTGTATTGCAGACGTTAAGCACACTTGGCGTGCAGAAGGTGAGGAGAGACGTTCTGCAGACGTGCCCTGCTGTGCGATAATACAATTATAGATTCATGTCTGTTATTTTGGAGGCTTACGGGCATTAAGAGGGCGATCGAACGGAGTCAAAAGACCTTCTAGCAAGACCGGACACGACACAGAGCACGCCGTTATCTGACTGCATGTGGATGCATGTGGCTACATGTCCAGCTGCTGTGTGCTCATCCTGTAAAAGACTTTGTTTTTCATTTTCAACATATTACATAGCAAATCAGCTTAATTAGCTTGAGCTCTTTGCTTTCACAAGTCTAATTAAACTCATGTAGCACCGCCAGTTGGTGTGTGTATTCGCTGTTTAAGCTCATTAGCGCTGTTTGCAACAGCGAGAATCACTATAACTATTGCTCATACGTGAGGTTACAGGGTTTCTACAACACCCGACGCTAAATATTAAACTTGGGCTTTTCTCTAAGTGAACAGACTTCTTTCAGAGTTCTTTCAACTTTCTATTCATCAAGGAATCCTGAAAAAAAAATGTTTCCACAAAAATATAAATTGTTTTCAACATTGATATATTAGAATGATTTCTGAAGGATCAAGTGACACTGAAGCCTGGAGTAATGATGCTGAAAATTCAGCTTTGATCATAGAAATAAATTACTTCTTACAATATATTTACATAGAAAACAGTTTTATTTTGAATTGTAAAAAATATTTCACAATATTACAGTTTTTACTGCATTTTTGATCAAATAAATGCAGCCTCAGTGAGCAGAAGAGTCTTCTTTCAAAAACATTAAAAATCTTACTGACACTAAACTGTATTATCCTGAAATTCTTCAGTCTTATGATCTAAAATGGCTCAGAGAAATAATCACAATAACCGAACAGCAGATCTTCAATCAATCATTGATTTGTTCAAATGGACAGTTTGGAACTGACTCACAGAACTGAATCAAACTTACCAACTCCAGAACTGTTTCTGCTACTGAAGCTTAAAAACTCTTTCTTAAGCTATAAACAAACTCCACACAAGCACACAAAGGCAAATGGAAATGTTTAGGCAATATACTGCAAGTGCACTAACCTGCTGAACGGACTTAACATGCATTTTTGTGGTAAAAAACATCCGTCTCAAGGGGGAGATACAAACCAGATGTGCTATTATTCAGGTAATAAAATGGTACCTGTCAACGGCTACTAAATGCTGACAGCTTAATTAATTTTAACTAACTTGCACAGCAAGATTCTCTTCAAATCTGCTTGAGCTGAAAGACAAAAATGACAGCAGAAGCAGAGAAATATGAATATATCGACCAACTTTACATTAGAGAGATGCATTTTGCACACAAACTCAAGTTCTCATCTGTAAGAAGAAAAATCATGTGCAAAACAATCAGACTGCACATGCTGCAACATATCTGAGATTTATGCTGCACAGCAGCAGCAGCAGGATTGACACGGGTGAGATTTGTGACTCATTCTAATATCTGAGCGGTTAAAATGGGGTCTTTGTTTTCTACGAGAGCGAGAGAGAGAGAGTCCAGTGTGTCTTAATGAGCTGTCCAGTAAATGGATCGGTTGCCTGGACACAAATGAAGTTCAGTCTCAGAAATTAAATGGAATGATTATTCACTGAGGTCAAGAATCCCAGACAGACTCTAAAGACTAAAGCGGCAGCATCTCCACTGACAGCACCATTTACTCCACAACACTTAAAGAAACAGATCACAAAAATGGATAGTGTCGTTCCAAACTGGATGCTGTCAAACTCCAAAAAGGACAAGAAATGTGATTAAAATGGACCAAGATATGAAGAGTTTGGTTCCAAAACGCGATAAACAAAAAAATTGAGTTTCCGCCAAAATCAGCATTGTATCTGGTCGGTATTGAAAAGTCCATTTTTAATTTTACGCAAAATTATCTTTCAACTAAATGAATGTAGCATGGCAAAGATGAATGCACTTTTGGAAGTTGAATGACTGGATGTCAGTTTAAGAAATATTTGAATGAATGAGTGAATGAGGACTATACATAAGATCAACCAGAATGGCATATTACAGTACTTGGACAGTGTTTACTGCAGCGCTGAATCTACAATAAATCAATGCTGAGTGCCATTTGAATCGATCTAATGATTCATTCACTGATTGAATCATTCAGAGTGGCTCTTCACTCATTCAAAATGAACCAAAAACTATTATGTTGAACTTAAGACTTAAATCAATATGGCAACAGACAGGTTGTTCTTTTGACAAGATATACATTCAGAAGAGAGCTTTGATGGTACTTTTAAAAATTAAATTAAATTAACCAAAATCTATTTTTTTATTTATTTATTTGTTTTTGTTTGTTTTTAGAGGAGAGCTTTGATGGTACTTGATGGTACTAACCATCAGTGCACAATTTTCCACACCACAATCTGTCAAGCACATCTTACCAGCAATCATACACTCGTTCACATCCTTCTCTTCAGTCTCTGAGCCAGAAGTCTCCAAACTCATCCTTTCTAATCATCCTACTACTTGTCCACTTGATCCTATTCCATCTCATCTCCTTCAAGCCATTTATCCTGCAGTTGTACCTGCACTCACTCACATGATTAACACATCCCTTCACACTGGTGTTTTTCCCTCAGCATTTAGACAGTCTCGTATAACCACACTACTTAAGAAACCCACCTTTAACCCATCTCTTTTAGAGAACTACAGACTATCTGTACTATCAATATAAGTTCCCTTCTTCCTTTCATTGCAAAAACACTTGAACGAGCTGTGTTCAACCAAGTCTCTGCCTTTCTCACACAGAACAACCTCCTCGACAGCAACCAGTCTGGTTTCAGAAGTGGACATTCAACCGAGACTGCCTTGCTCTCAGTTGTTGAAGCCCTAAGACTGGCAAGAGCGGATTCCAAATCTTCAATACTTATCTTGCTGGATCTGTCCGCTGCTTTTGACACGATTAACCACCAGATCCTCCTGTCAACCTTGTTGGCAAAGGGCATCTCAGGAACCACGCTCCAGTGGTTTGAGTCTTATCTCTCATATAGGTCCTTCAAGATATCTTGGAGAGGTGAGGTGTCCATGTCACACTACGTGTACTGCATTAAGCTAACTGAGACTTGTTATAGCACTTGCATATCATTGTTCTTTTGTTGATTTTGATTGCTTCCATTGTCCTCATTTGTAAGTCACTTTGGATAAAAGCGTCTGCTAAATGTCTAAATGTAAATGTAAATGTACTTAAAATAAAATAAAATAAAAACTCTGCAACCAAAATGTTTTTTAGAGGAAAGCTTACTTTTTAACATAAATTAAAGAAATAAATACTTCTTTAAAATTAATTTAAAAAAAATTAAATTAAATTAAAATAAATTATGCAACCAATTTTTTTTTTTTTTGACTAAAATAATCATTAATGGAGATATTACAGTATTAGAATCATTAAGCAGAATATAAATTGGAACCAGAATCATAAAGTTCCTCGGTTCCCATCTGTAGCTGTATTTTGAGTGTGTGTGTGTGGTAACACCACATCAGCAGCTGTGACAGCAGTGAAGTTACAGATCTATCAAACGCTCAGTAAAGATTAATGCTTTATTCACCGAGGCCAAACAGGGTGTGAAATGAGTAAAAGCAAGCAGGTGTACAGAATGAAAATGCGAACAAACACACACACACACTCTAAAGAAAACATACTCTAACCTTGACAACCGCACATGCTTTATGGTGCCAATGGGTTTTTATTGTTTAATGTAGGGATGCACCGATAAAACTTTTTCCAGTACTCATCCGATACTTTTATTTTTTTGTACTTGCTGATACCGAGTACCGATACCGATATTTTTATTACATTTGTAAATTTTTTAAATATTGGGTACAGAAACAAAAAGAGTATGCATAATGTTAGTTGGTTAACTTAATTTATCAAATAGATACAGTCAAACCAAAATTTATTCAGACACCTTCAACTTTTCTCACATTATCACAGTTTATTCGCAATAGTTTAGAAAATGGTAATAAAATATGACAAGAACTCAGAGTTAAACCGTGTCAGAACAATTTCAGCTTGATAATGCTAGATAACTTTGATAGGAAGGTATGTAATGGATTACAATCAACCAAAAATTATTCAGACAGCTGTTAGTATGACAATATTTACACAACTATCAATACTACAACCCTTAGCCTCACTCAGCGTGCTTTGTTAATCAGCTCGCTCACATCAGCTATACAGGCGTTAATACTGAATTTTAACATTATATTCATTGCATACATATATTTCGTAGACATCCTTAATCTCTAACAACCATTCTGCTGTCTGTTGTTTTGTTGTTGGTGTTTCTTTGTCTGAATACGGCACTTATCACATGCTGTGTGGTATCGGCGTTTGGTATCGGGGCATTTTAACGAGTACGAGTACAAGCACAGGAGCTCAGTATCGGACCCGATACCTGCATCCCTAGTTTCATGTCAACTCGCTTAGTTTAATGACTGACGGCTTTTTATGAGAAGCGTTTCTGCACTTTACCTTGCACAACTTACACACACACATCACAATAAACCAGAAGCAGACACACATTCATCTCTCTCACAAACACCTCAACAGCTTCTGCAGACTTCAAAACATCAGCGTCCATCACAACGATCAGCTTCTGAGAGAGATGCAAGCCTCATATTCACCCAAACACCAAACAAAATCAAATCTTCAAAATCATGATCATGAAACCCATCAACAACACTTCAAGGTAATATTTCACATCAAAATAAAATGAATAATAATAATAGATAAAAAATATTGATTTCAGCCAGGATCATTCAATTTGTGAGAATTGTGACATTATTTTCATGACAAATCGGCCTCAAACTCTTATTACTACAACACGTAAATATAAATTAATACTGCCTATAATGAACAAACATTTAAATAAAATTCAATAGAATTTCTAATTTTTGTAGTTATTTCAGTGCATCTAATGTGCCTAATAGATCTTATCAACATTAAAAAACAACCACCTCAAAATATTTCATAATATTTATATTTTATATGTACTTAAATATGTAAATCAATAAATAAATAAATTAAATTAAACTATGCAACCTTTTGTTGTTTTGAATAAAAATACTACCATGAAATATACAATTTAAAGAATACATTATCAAATTACAGCAAGGAAAATTAGATTTCCTTGCATTACAAGTAACGCCAATTTTTGTAAGAATTGTGTTTAATTGTCATGAAAATAATGTCACAATGCAAAACCTTAATGGTCAAAAATGTCTTGTTTCTTTCTCTTGTGCTTCTTTCCCGTTTCAGTGTGAAATACAATGTGTTTTTGTGAGATTCATCTGACTGACAGAGAAGCGGGAAAGATCAGGTGATCAGTCGGACCAGTCTGAGGAATGTGGAACTGATGCTAAAGACAGAAGCCAGCCAACAACCAACACACACACACACACACACACACACTCAACAGCTGCCCGACATATCTGCTTCCTTAAGGAGCAACAGGAGAAAGAATGTGCCTCCTGATAATGAGCTCTGTCACAATCTACATCTCACATACACACACTCTTAAAGTGGTGGCGATGTCTTCCCATGAGTCTCTGCTCCGCTTCATTCCAGCGGTCAAGCGTCAGTCACTGCCTCAGTAATCACAGGATGACCCTGATGCTTTGTGTTCTGCTGGTAAATGCATTGATTGCTCTTACCTGCCACTGAGTTCGGCCGAGGCATCATCAGACTGGACGAGTTCTGCATGGGATACTGGACGGGTCCCTCAGACCCTGTGGCTCCTGAAGTCTTCTTAGCAGTGGAGATGCTCCGTACCCCTGTCCCGGATGCTGACGCTTCCTCCTCGGCCACCGGAGAGCACGTGTCTGGCCGCACATGTTGAGCGCAGCTCCTTATGCTGCCCTCTTTACCCCACTCCAGACTGGAGCCGCTGCGGTCGTCATTCTCTGATGAGCTGGTGATGGTGGCTGGACAAGAGGAAACTATATTACTGACACTCTGTGTGCATATGATTCTGATTCATTCATTTAAATTGATTCTATTCAATTCAAATCAACAGTGCAGACTACATTTCTGACAAACAATGTCACAAGTCTTTCACAATCTTGACTAGTTAGAGATACAATATATACTCTCTATTTTGGATTTATTCTTGACATGTAAATAACATAAAGCAGTCCTGAAGTCCATGCTATAAATGATCTAGCAAAAGCAGATTAAACAAATAAATAAATATAATTTTTTTAATATATATATAAATTATATATATATTTGATAAACAGCTAATTTCTCATGTAGTTTAAGATAGATAGATAGATAGTACCAGTGCTAATCTGCAGCATTGGAGGAGTCCTACAAATAATATAAAGTGAAAATCTTCACACAACCCCTCAAAGAGGCAGAGATGAAGACTGGATAACAGGAAAGCGTGTAAAAGAAAACGTCAGAAAAAGAAAGATCACGGCTCCTGAAGTCAATCTCAGACGAGCATCATTACCACTCATAAACTCTGATGAGTCACTGACCTTATCAACACTTTCACCTGAACGCCGTTTCACGCTGCTAATGAGCACCAACCTCAACAACAAACTACCCATTACAAACACGCTGCTCACTCTGCATGTGTTTGTGTGGATCAGTGTTTGCTATCGCTGCTAATAACTCTGCCTTTTTTCATTCGAATTAAAAGATAAATAAACAAACAATGAGAGTGAGAGTGTGTGCATTCATGCACGTGTGTTTGTTCACTGATCTGAGGGGGGCGGATGAATCTCTGGGTTCAGTTTCAGCTCCTGACTTTATTACTAAATAACATGCGTGACAACAGCTGCATGTGCCATTTGTCAGCGCTCGCACATGCGCGCACACACACACACACGCTTATACAGTCGGCTCCAAACATCTGAGAGCGTTGGTGAAGATGATCTCCATTTTGAGTGACAAGTGAATCTGAATGTGAAAATGTGTCAGTATTTGGTCTCTTCTGCTGTAATGACAGCAGCACTGGAGCTATATGAACTAAACCTGATGATCATGTTCTCCAGCATGATTTCAGATGATCCAAAGAGCATCAAGAACATCTGTCAGTCTCTACAAAGTCACATGATCAATGACACTCATTTACTTACACATACAACTAGGGAACAGTCTTGGGTTCCCAAACCTTTTGACCAATGAAACTCCATGACTGAATTGCTGGAACATATTTTTTTAAATTATTTTATAGACACTGCACTCACAAAAAATAATTCTAACCAATATACTAGAAAAAAATCATATGCACTAAATACTTATACTGATAAAAAATGTATAGCCTGAATGCACTGTAAGTCGCTTTGGATAAAAGCGTCTGCTCAATGCATAAATAAATAAATAAATAATAAATAAATAAACAAATCAATCAATCAATCCAAACAATCTTGGTTTCCCAAACTTTGTGACCAATGAAACTCCATGACTGGATTGCTGGAATTATTTGTTGTTAATTTTCCACTAAATAAATAAATAAATACATAAAATGCCATAAAAGAATGAAAGAAAGAAAGAAAGAAAGAAAGAAAGAAAGAAATCACAATTTTGGATTGCTGGAAATAATTTTTGACTATTCAAAATTAAATTTTTTAAAATAATTTTAGACACTGCATTCACAAAAAGCAATTCTAACCAACATACTAGAAACATAGAAAAGAAAATATAGAAAATATAAAAAACAAGCAAACAAATACATGGGTTCTCAAAAATTGTGACCAATGAAACTCCATGACTGGACTGCTGGAAATTATTTTTGACGATTGTTCAAAAAAATCTTTTATAGATACTGCACTCACAAAAAGCAATTCTAACAAATGAAATACTGAATACTAGAAACAATTACATGCACTATAGAAATTGCTATAACTTTTTAGGTTTGCTTTTATTTCCCTGATATTTCCAGGCATTCTTAAAAGTCCAGGGTTTTCATGAGAACCCATTAAACATTTCTTCTTCATTGTTGAAATGTTTAAAAATCCTCAAACACTCTTTCTTTCTGGGTTTCAATAAAAGAGAAGCAGCCAGATGTTCAATGTGGTGTCAGATGTGCCGAGCTCACAGTATCCATGCACACATGTGTCTCAGTGACTGCATCTAAACAGCTGTTCACACTCTTTCTTAACTGAATGTTTTCCTTTTCTTTCTGCTGATTATTCACAAACTGAGTGGGTCACACAGGCCAAACACGCTCCTCTACATCAAGGCAACATGTTCCCCACTGTAAAAAATGATCGTGATTTTAACGGTAAAAGACTGTAAAAATGCTACAGTAAAAACCTATTAACTGGTTAACGGTAAGTTCCCCTACTGTATACGGTGAAAAACAGATTTCAGAACTTCAGAACTCAGTATAATAACATTCAATCAGATGAATCAATGAAATACGATTTTTAAATGTAAATTTAAATTAAATTCATAAAACCAAAAATGCTGCTACTGTATTTTTTACGGTAAAATTCTGGCCGTAAATTTTACTGAATTTTTTCAGCAAGTGTGCTGATTTCTCTCATCCTAAAACTCTGTGTAAAGAGCAAATGACACTGACAACAGGCCTAATGCATCAAACACCAGCAGAACCAATTTCTGTGTAACCCGTTCACAAAACAATTCTTGCAAGGATGGATTTTACAAACAATTTACACCGAAATTCGTCATGCTTCTTATGTGTACTACATCTAAAGGACAAAATAAACTCCTCGCAAGACAAATGCGATTATAAACTGGCTATAATTCAGGGTCAGACGCCCATTTCTAACTACAACTTTGTGGTAATAACACATATTCTCCAATATTTTCTCAGAAACTAGGACTGCCAGCCTGTATGGTGCATAATTCATAGAGAAATGTTTAATCTTTCGATCTGCAACCGAAAAAATGCAGAGCGGAGCTCAAAACTGACTTTCTGAAGCAGCCAAGCTGCATCAACACCTCGTCCTGCAAAACCCCCCACGTTTGGATCTGCAGGCCAACATGGCTCATCTTCTTTGGCCTGACGGAGCTGTCTGAGTTTTGCAGTGAACCATGGTTTGTCATTGTTGTAAGTTAGATGAGTCCTGGTAGGAATGCACGTCTTCACAGAAACTGATATAAGATGTTACATACAGTCTCTGTGAGCTCGTCCAGATCGGTGGCAGCAGCTTCAAAGACGCTCCAATGAGGTCAAAACAAGCTTTTAAATCCTGCTCTGCTTCATTAGTCCATCTTTATACGGTCCTTAATACAGGTTTAGCTGATTTCAGTTTCTGCCTGTAGGTCGGTATAAGATGAACCAAACAGTGATCAGAGAGCCCCAAAGCTGCCCGTGGAACAGAGTGATATGCATTCTTTATTGTGGTGTAACAGTGATCCAATATATTACTGTCTCTGGTGGGACATGTGATGTGCTGTCTGTATTTTGGCAGTTCACGGGAGAGATTTGCTTTATTAAAGTCCCCGAGAATGATTAAAACAGAGCCCGGGTGTTGTTGTTCTGTCTCTGTGATCAGATCTGCGAGTTTCTGTAAAGCGGAGCTCACGTGCGCTTGCGGAGGAATGTACACACTGACGAGAATGAACGAACAAACTCCCACGGCGAGTAGAACGGCTTGCAATTAATGAAGAGCACTTCTAGATCTGAACAGCACATCTTCTTTAACACAGTTACATCTGTACACCACCTCTCATTGATGTAAAAGCATGTCCCGCCGCCGCGCGATTTCCCCGTTGATTCTGCGTCGCGATCTGCTCTAAACAGCTGAAAGCCCAGCAGACTCAACGCGCTGTCCGGAATGGCGTCTTTCAGCCAATTTTCCGTGAAACCCAGAGCAGCAGAGTTTGAAAAATCCTTATTTGTCCGGGAGAGCAGAAGAAGTTCGTCCGTTTTGTTGGGTAGAGAGCGGAGATTTGCCAGATGGATGCTAGGCAACGGCGTTCTGAATCCGCGCTGTCTGAGCTTGACGAGCGCGCCGCCTCGCTTCCCCCGTCTGCGCGTCCTGAAGCGCTTGATCAGCGCCGCAGCTCCCCCGACAACAATGTCCAGCAAAACATCAGAATAATCAAAACCGGTGAAATATCGGGTGGTGTGTACTTCCGAATGTCCAGCAATTCGTCTCTGGTGAAACTGATTGCAGGGATATAACTAAAGACAGGACAAACTAACAAAAACATAAAAACAACTGCGGAGCACGCCACGGAGGCAGCCATCACCGTCGGCGCCATCTCATATCCCATTATATGTTCGCACATCTCACATCCCATTATGTGTTCGCACATGATATAAAACAAAGGAAAACATTTACACTAGTTTTAGTCATCACTAAAAATATAAAAATGTTGTACATTTTACCAGGATCGGGAAAAAAATATATATTTTAACAGGTCAAACGATAAGGACTATTGGGGCCCCGGACATGCCCGGTCATGTTTATGGAGACTTTACATTGACATAATTCAATTAAATTTAATTCA